AAAAAAAAAAAAAAAAAAAAAAAAAAAAAAAAAAAAAATGAGATTCAGGCCAGAGATTTAGCTCAGTAGCGCCACACCTACACACACAATCAAAAGGTCCTGAGTTCCATCCCCAGTACTGAGAAAAGAAAAAAAAAAGCGGCACACCAAGATATACGTGGCATAACACTAATGGTAAATAAGCATATTTTAGCCAAATGGGTGTATTCTAACTAAAACTAACATTTTACAGTGCACTACATTTGGTGGCTACAATAGATCTACAATAGCCACAGACCAAATAATGCTGGTATATTTTCCTGTTTGAAAATCTCCAATTTTCACTTTAAAAAGCTTTGGCTACCAAGCACAGTGGCGCACATCTGCAATTCCAACTTCTTAGAAGGCAGAGGCATGAGCATTACTAGTTTAAAGCTGGCCTGCGCCAAGCATGGTGATGCAAGCTTGTAATACCAGCACTCGGGAGTCTGAGGCAGGAGGATCACTGCAAGTTTGAGGCCAGCCTGGGCTACATAGCAAGAACCTGTCTCAAAATAACTTCACCGCAAAAACAAAACAAAGCCAGCCTGGGCAAATTATTGCGACCTTGTCTCAACCCCCCCACCCCCCCAAAAAAAGAAAGAAGAAAAAGAAAGGCTAGGGATGTTCTCAGTGCCAATGCCTTGGGTTTAAACACCAGTACCAGCACCACCAACAAAAAAGGCCTTTTAGCCTGAAATTTTACCAATACCATGAAACATACTACCCCCCAAATATTTCCTTTTAGTGGGACAGGGTCTAGCTATAGTTCAGTTCAGGCTACCCTTGAACTCACTACCTTGCCCAGGTTGGCCCTAAACTTGTAGGATCCTCCTGCCTCGGCATCTTGAATGCTGGGATTATCAGCATACATCATCACCCCTAGCTTTTTCCTCTACTTAAGCATACATTTCAGCACCTTGAAACCATAATGTTAAGTGAAATAAATCAGTTTAAATATCACATGGTTTCGTCTATATGAGAAACCTAGAGTAAAAATAAAGACCAAAATAAAAGATAAAAGGAAGTAGCAAGAGATAGATTGTTCTCAAAGGGGAAGAGAATCAAGAGATGGAGATGTGGGAGAGAGGTAAGAGATAAGGGATGAAAAAAAGGAACCAGGATGTGTTTTGTGCAAATACCAACTCTGTACAAGGACTGTAGACACTGTGTCCTACAAACATGTACCAAAAAAGGGGAAGGGATCAAGAGATGGGTGGAAGGGGGAGGGAGGGCAAGGATAAGGGATGTAAAGAGGAATGAAAGTGTGTCGTGTACATGGTCCAACTCCACACAAGTAATGCGAACATTATGTACTACATACATATATTAATAAACTTTTTTATCAAAAAAAGGAAAAATTTTCAAAGTGTACCTTGATTTAGTATAATTGTCATATGTATTTTGATTTTTTTTTGCCTGTTAGTCAAGCTCTTAATTTGTGTCTATGATAATTAACTTGATAATAACCTACGAAATAATTAAATGAATCTGATGGTGGCAAAAAAAATTTTTAAAGGGGGCATAGAAAGGAAGGAAAAATAATAGTTGAGATGTGTTATGTTACAGTACATGTACTCATTCCCCACAATGAATGCAATCATTTGTACTGTAAACTTACTAATAAAAAAAGAATAAATTTCAGTCCAAAAATAATTTTTTTCCAGTTCAATTGTGATTATAGTATTCTGTGTACACTACCACTCTGCGAATATTCTAAGCATGAAAAGTTGTCTTCAAATATACTTTTGGCCTACAGAAATTAACAGAAACAATTTGTAAATAATTTCTTCAAATCATTACTGCCCAACAATACCGAAATCCCACTCTAAACAATACTCACAGTGATTTCAAACAGTACTGTGCATTCTTTCTGGCTTGGTGATTTGTACAGTGTTGCCAACCTGCTTAGAAAAAATAAACATACACAAAAGTATAACCTTTATTAGTTCAGATGACTGATTTCATAATTTAAATTTATAGGATTATTTTTTGCTGTACTTCTATTCTTTTGTTCTTTTGGGGGGGATACCGGGGATCAAACTTGGGACCTTCTGCTTTCAAGGCAGGTGGCGGCACCACTCAGCTAAATCCCCAGCCCTTGTTCTTAAAACACAGAAAAGAAAGACATTAAACAAACAAACAAACAAACTTCCCTCATTGGACATTTTTGTATCCCCACTACTGGGGAGGCTAAGTAAGATAGCAAGACTTTTTGGTGCCCAGGAGTTCAAGAACCAAGCAACACAGTGAGAGTCTCTTAAAAAACAAAAACCTCAGCTGGCATGATGGCACACACCTGAAACCCCAGCACTTGGGATTACAATGGCACAAGGATTGAGGAAGTGAGTTCAAGAGCAGCCCGGGCCATACAGTGAGACCCTAGCTCAAAAAAATCCCAAAAAAAACACACACACAGAAAAACAAAAAACCCTCCAAAATATTTTATATGTAGAGATGTTAAAAAAAAAAAAAAAAAAAAAAAAAAAAAAAAAGGAAGAAAATATTTAATGAAATAGGAAAGTGCCCATAATATATGAAATAAAAATTATACTGGCCAAACATGGTGGCACACACCTATAGTCCCAGCACCCAGGAGGTTGGGACAGGAAGAGCTCAAATTTGAAGCAAAATTGGACTGCATAATCAGTTTACATACTGAATTCAAGGCAGCCTGGACCACATAATGAGAACCTATCTAAAAAAAAAAAACAAAAACAAAAAACAAAAAGTAAAATGATACTTTATGTTCTCATACTTTTAAGTATGCGTATATATATATACATATATAGAGAAAAAAACTGCCAGAACACTACAATCAAGAAGTTAAAGGTAAAAGGTCCCAATTCGATTCCCCCCCGTACCAAAAAAAAAAGTTAAGAGTTGTTATTACAAGGTAAAAGTTGTTTATATATATTTCCCAATCTTTCTGCAGCATTTTAATATTTTATGTTATTAGAGAAGTATTAAGATAATATCTTAGAATACAAATGAGGGACATATTCTCATACAAATAAGGAAGATGAGAATGTATAAGCCTGTAATCCCAGGATTTAGGAGACTGATGGAGCAGAATCACTGGGCTACATTGTAAGTTCAACGTCAGCCTGAACTACAATAATGGACTCTGTCACAGAAAACCCAAATAAATAAAAGTAAGTAAAATAAAGAAGGCATATTGTTTTAAAATGGTCATGTGACTAAAACCTACTGTCACGATAGGACAAGATCTTTTAGGTGGAATTTTGTACTATTCTGTACTATGTAATGTAAATAAACATAAAACCAAAAACTGAAAATAGTTAAATAAAATTCTAGGTTCTTATAAACTATACTCAAATGCTGTTAACAAAAAAGAAAACTTTAGTGCCTTCTAAAATTACTTTAAAACAAATATAATTTATTCATAATAGTCAAAAAGACAAAAACAACCAGAAAAGTCCACTGATAGATGAATAAACAAAATGTGCTATGTGTGTATATTATATATGACATACACAACAGAATATTATTTAGCATTAAAAAGGAAACTGTGAATATGCTACAACGTAAAAGAACCCTGAAGATTTATCTACATGAAATAAATTCATCACAATAGGATGGATATTGAACAATTCCAATTATGCAAGGAGCCAAATTCACAGAAACAAAGAATGGTGGCTGCCAGGAGCTAGGGAAGAGGAGAATGGGGAGTTATTGGTTAATGTTTTAGGAGGGGAATGACAAAATTCTAGAAATAAATGGTGGTGAAGGTTATGCAACAATATGAATACACAAACACACACAAACACCCACACACACACACACACACACACACACACACACACAAAATTTTTTTTTTTCTCGCAGTATTGGAGATTGAACCCAAGGCCTTTCACATAATAGGCCAGTGTTCTACTACTGAGCTACACTCCATCCCTTTTAATTTGTTATTTTATTTTGAGAAATCAACTCACTAAGTTCCCCCAGATGCCCTAGAACTTCTGATCCTCCTGTCTCAGTATCACTGAGTAGCTAGGATTATAGACAGCAGGCAATGGGGTGAAAATGATCATACTGTGTCCAGTAATATGAATGCACTTACTGCCATTGTACTGTACACTTAAAACACTGTTAAAATGGTAAATTTTATGGTGTCTATTTTATTGCAACTTTCAAAAATTGATATAACTAAACTAAATGTAGACTCTAATTTAGAGGAAAACATTTCTAAATTTGTACCTTCAAGATGAAAACAGCAGCATCCATGCCAGGCATAGTGGCTCATGCCTATAATCCCAGCATTCTGGAAGGCTGGAGGATCCCAAACTGTAGCTCAGACTGGGCAACTTAGTGATACCCTATCTCAAAAATAAAAATGGCTGCAGATAGCTGGGTGTGGTGGCACAGGCCTATAATCCCAGCACTTCAGAAGTTGAGGCAGGAGGATCATGACCAGCTCAAAGCCATTCCGAACTACATAGCAAGACCTTCTCTCAGAAAACCAAAACAAACAAACAAATAAATAGTGGACCACAGGTATACCTCAGTGTAAAGGCTCTGAGTTCAATCTCCAGTACCAATGAATGAACCAATGAATGAATGAAAAAAAACTCAGCGGAATTCAAACTGTCATATACTACTAATTAATAAAATAATTACTAAGTAATATGTATGGAAGAATAGTTATGTTCTTGGAAGGCTGAGGCAGGAGGATGGCTGTGAATTTGAAACCAGTCTGGGCTACACAGTAATCTGAAGGCCTGCCTAAAGTACATAGCAAGACCTTGTCTCAAAAAAGCCAGGCATGGTGGCACCAACCTGTAATCCCAGCAATTGGGAAGTAGAGGCAGGAAGATCACTGTGAATTAGAGGCCAGCCCAGACTAGATAGTGAGTTTAAAACCAGCATGAACTATACTGCAAGACCCTGTCTCAAAAAAACAGAAAAGAAAAAAAAAAAAAAAAAAAAAAGGCTATGTTAGGAATTAGAGCATAAATTTTTAACATGCTTTAGGGTTCATTTTTTTTTAACTTTTGCTATGTTGCCAAGGATAGCCTAGAACTTGAGAACTTCCTGTTTCATACCTGTCCCTAATAGCTGGGATTATAGGCTCACACCACTGTGCCAGGTTTCTATTCTACCTTTAATGCAAAAAATATAAAAGAAAAACAGAGGCAAAGTTATTTTAACATGACTTTTTGAAGAATAACCTTTTTCACGGTGTTTGAAATTGATCTCAGGGTTCTACACATGCTACTAGGCAAACAGAGACTATCACTGAGCTGTATCTCTCTGGCTTTAGAAGATCACTTCTTTCTTTTTTTCCTTTGGTTTTTTTGAGACAAGGTTTCACTATGTAGTCCAGGCTGGCCATGAACTCACTATGTAGCCTAGATGGGCCTCAAATTCAGTCACCAAACTCACACTGATCCTCCTGCCTCAGCCTCCTAAGTGCCAGCATTACGAGTGTGCACTGGAAGAAAAATCACTTTTTGATTAAAAAGAAAAAAATACAGCTGGGAATTTAGATCAGTGGTTCTGCCGCCTACCTTTTCAAGCACAAGGACCCAAGTTCAATCCCCAGTGCCAAAAAAAAAAAAAAAAAAAAAAAAGCTAACTCTAAAAAACCTGCATCTGAATAACCTTGTATCACAAGAAATGTCCAAAAAGGCATCCACTGCATCTAACTTTTCTGAGAAAGTTATTAAAAACTATTAAGCATCTATCTATCTATCTGTCTATGTTTTGGTGCCAGAGATTCAACCCAAAGCCAATGTGCTGAGCTATATACCTAGCCTTTTATTTTTTATTTTGAGGCATGTTCTTACTAACTTACTACGTTGCCCAGGCTCGGCTCAATCTTGTGATTCTCCTGCCTCTGCCTCTCAGGGTGCTGTGATTACAGGCATGTGCCATCACACCCAGTTAAAATAATAAGCTTTTAAGAAGCATTTGCTCATTTATTAAGAATCCTAGAGTCAAAGGTGGACCAAGTTTTCAGATTGAAAATCTTCCTCAAAGTTCTAATTAACTAATAAATGTTCCTATGTCCTGAATGCCTCAAGAAATTCTTTTAAACAAGAAACTAAACCAAAGAATCACTTGGCTCATAGCCCCAGCAGAGATGAAGCTTAACATATGGCTGAACTACATAGTTTGGGTCAGGAAGAAATAAGACAGAAGCACAATTTGTGCTCTAACGCTGAGCACACACAGGAGACACTGTGTGGGGGTGTTGATGTATTACTCCACTCTAACACCAGATCTTCTTGGCAAACAGCAGTGCAATTCTGAACAATCTTGGCCTCATGTTATCATGAATATGCAAATTAGAGGAAAACCCACACACTATAAGGACACAGACAAGAGCATTTAAGAACTGCTAGAATATTATTTCATCATTAAACAAAGGTTAAAAATCAAATGTTAATGGGGAAGTACTAGGCGTGATGGTACATCTAAGTTCAAGTCCCAATATAAATTTGGCTATCCAAAGTTTTCAGCATTTCTGCTCAAATGAAAAGTGTTCATTTTTATAATTATTTTCTCTCCAATATGAATTTCTATTTCCATCCTTTCAGGATAAACTAAATTTTAAAATCTATGTAAAATTTCATCCAAGTTTGGGGCCAGGGGTATAGCTCAATGATGGAACATGTTCTTAGCATTCATGAAGCCTCACGCCATAAACCCAAAACATGCAACTGAACAAACACCAAGAACAACATAATTCCTCCTATCCTACAAAGAGTTCATGAACATTTAATAACTTAAAGACACATGGCTTCCAAAAATGAAGAAAACAACTATTTTAAACTGGGTACAGTGGCACAGGCCTATAATCCCAGATATGGGAAGGTTGAGGCAGAAAGATCTTAAATTCAAGGCCAGCTTGGGCAATTCAGTGAGACCTTATCTCAAAATAAATATGGAAAACAATACAAAAAGGGGCTGGGGTTGTGGCTCAGAGGCACAGCATTTTGCCTGACATTCACCAGGCCTTTCGTTTAACCCCTAGTACAGCAAAAAAAAAAAAAGGGAAAAAAATAAAACAAAACTTATCACATATCAAATATCTGGGAAAAAACAAGCTTCAAGAAAAAGCATTTTAGGCCGGGCATGGTGGCGCACACCTGTAATCCCAGCACTCGGGAAGCTGAGGCAGGAGGATTGCTCTGAGTTTGAGACCAGCCTGGACTACATAGTCAGTTCAAGGTCAGTCTCAACAACACAGTGAGACCCTGTCTCAGAAAAAAAAAAAAGAAAGAAAGAAAAAGCAATTTACCCAAAACAGAGAATAAGAACTATATTCAGATTTGCTAGCAATCAATGCAACATTATAATTACTTTCTAGAAATTGTTATGAGAAAAGTAACAGATTCTATATAGTGAAATAAAATGTGGATACTATCTCAGAGTTGAAAAATTAAATAATGAGATACAAATATGGTCCTTTCCATGATAAAGGAAAGTTTAAAAATATTCAATAAATAGAATCTATTATTTACTACTTTGCTAACCTTTCTGAGCCTTTGTTTTTCTCATTTTTAATAATTAAAGGTACAGATGATTACTTGAAATGTTGTATATAAAGTTCCTAGTAAAATACTTAGCATAAGCAAACACTTAATAAAATGATATTTGAGATATAGGAAAAGTTTAAAAGAACTATGTATCATCCCCACATGTACCTATCTTCAGTATTAGTTTTCTATACCATTTTCTAATTTCTTGGTAAAGATCTATAAGAAACTGAATTTATTCTAAATTAACTTTCAAAAGGTAAGCTTAATTTTCTGACATCATGGGAGTCTAAGTAATACTATCTTCTAGAATTTAACAAAGGCAAATTTTCTCTTCTGATGAAAGATGAAATATCTTGCATTGCTACTTTAATTTTTTCCTCCCTTCCTTCTTTCTCTCAGTACTAGGGATAGGACTGAAATATATTTTATTACTGAGTATTTACTTATTTAACTCTACAGTAGACTACTACTGCATATTAGCTCAAGGATAATTCCTAAGAACATTTCAGTAGTGGGATGTACTTCATAGGGCAACTAAAATCTGTAAACATAGAAACTATGTTAAAAAAATCTCAGAGCTGGACATTGTGGTATACATCTATAATCCCACTTTTTTTTTTTTTGTACTGGGGATTGAACTTGGGTCCTTGTGCTTGCAAGGCAGGCTGCCAAACCACTGAGCTAAATCCCCGGCCCCTATCCCACTATTCTTGAAGGCTGAGGAAAGAGGATCAAAAGTTCTAGCCAATCTGGGCAATTTATAAAGACCCTATCTCAAAAGGGGGGTGGGCTGCAAATGCAGATCAGTGTGAAGGGTGCAGGTGCAGTCCCCAGTACTATAAAAAAAAATCTCAGCTCAAGCAAGGCAACACAGGTGTGGTGGCACAGGCCTGTAATCCTAGCTAAGTACTTGGAGGACTGAGCCAGAAGGATTGAAAGCTGGAGGATAGGCAATATAAGACCCTCAAAATAATATAAAACTAACCTGGGATGCAGGTCAGTAGTAAAATAATTTCCTACCATGTACAAGACCCTGGGTTCAGTCTCCAGTACAACAAAACGAAACCTCTTGATTCAGCTGGAGAACTATAGCCAAG